CTCCTCCTCCCTCCGCGCTGTTGCCGCCACGGCGTTTGCTGCCCCTGCCCCTCTTCGTCTTCTCCCTCCTCCCCCTGGCGCTGCTGCTCCTCCTGCTGCCGCCGCTCCGTCAGCCAGTGCCGCTTCAGCCACACGCGCAGGCAGGCAGGCACGGCACGTCCGCCCGCCCGACCCCACCGCCGAGCGACCCACCCGGGAGAAAGGGAATAGGAAGCAGCGCTGGCGGCCGCGGCCCGTACGTACCGGTCATAGTGGCGAGTGTGTGTGTGTGTGAGAGAGAGAAAGAGCGCGAGCGAGCGAGCGGGCAGGCGGGCAGGCAGGCAGGCGGCAGCGGGAGCAGCCTCTGCCTACTTGGCAGGGCGCGCAAGCGAGGGAGGGGGGAGGAAGGAAGGAAGGAAGCAAGCGAAGCGCTGGCTGGCTGTCTCTCTCTCTCTCTGTCTCCTGCGCAGGCCCCGCTCGCCGCTGCCGCCACTAGGGCTCGGCAGCCGCCGCCGTCGCCGGGGGCATGCTTAGGGCTGACGCGACGGTGGTAGTGGTGGTGATGATGGTGGTGGTGGAGGCGGCGGCCTTGAGCCCACTCCGGGGTTTTCCCCTGTTTTGATTGACGGTGCGAGGAAGCCGAAAGGTGGGGCTTGTGCGGCAGGGCAAAGAAGAGGCCCGGCCGACACTACTACTACCACCACCACCACCACTACCGCTGCCTGGCCCGCCAGCCCGGAAGTCCCACCTCCCGGTCGCGTCCCCGGCCGCTCATTGGCCGCGCGGCTCCCTCGCGCGTCTTGTCACTGGCTTGCTTCGCGTGCCGCTCAGCGCGGGTGGGCTCGCCCCCCCGTGCGCTCCCTGACGAGGTGGCTTCCTGTTTGCCAGGGTTTGTGTGAGAGACAATGAGCGGGGCCTGTTCGGAGAGGTCCGGGCCGTGAGGGAAAGCCAGGCCTTCGCTGTCCAACTAGAGGGCCGTCGGTGGCTGAGCAGGGCCCCGTTTGGCTCTGGGGGAAATGCGTTGTTACGGTGGCGGGCCGGCCTTTTTTCCCCTCTCCATCCCGAAATTTGTTTTGTTTAAACATTGAGGCTGGTCCTCTGCCCGCCGCCCCGCGTCGTATTTTTCCCTCAGGGAAAGCCAAAGATGCGTCTTGTTTCTCTTCTGTTTTGGCGCGGAAACGGGCCGAATGGGCGCCTCATCTCCGCGAGAGACCGAAGCCTCTCCGCTGGGTTTGAAATCTCCCTCGTTCCGGCTGTCACTCAGGAGACTGCGGCCGCGACTCCCCGGAGAGGGAGGAGAAGGGGGCGGTTTCGTGTGGTTCACCAAACAAAACACAAAACAAAACACGGGGAAAGGACGGAACTCCAAAACAGGCCAAAAGCCCCATAAAGTTTACGTGTCAGTCAGATCGCACGTTGCAGGCCCAGCTGGGCTCCGTCAACGGGCTCGCCCTTCAGGCCCAGGCATCGTGTTTTAACATTCAGCCGATGAAAAGGGGTGGTTTTCTCCCCTTTTTTCCCATGGGCTGAAAGACTTCTTTCCGAACTTGTTCCCTTTGGGATGTGACCTGATTTCTAGAACCCGTTTCGCTTGAAGAAACATAAAGTTGTACTTTCATCCTAAATGTTTGATTCTCCTGCTCAGTAAATGATCTTTAAGATCTTTCAAATGTTGCTGAGGTGACATGGTTGTGAAGTTTCGTGGAGTCGGTACCTGGATGCTGTTTTTAAAAATATAGTTTACTGTAAGCCTGAAGGAAGCAATCATTATTGAGGAGAAACTAATAAAGTCAGAACACACACTTCACATCCCATAAGTGTCAAATCTGCTGTTGATATTAACTTTTTTAAACTATTCTCCAGGGAAGTGACCTCTTACTGAGATCAGTGGAGAAATGCCCATTGGTCATAAGAGATCAGGGCCTGACCCTTAAGTACTTGTGGAATTTGAATTGGTATCATGCATCCCTTGTCAAAAGTGGACATGCGAGGAAATGGAGGATTTTTCCCTGCATATCTGAAAATGGATTATTTATTTATTTATTCGATTTATATCCCGCCTATCTAGTCGGTTAGTGCATAACAACTCAAACTGAAATACTGTATATTCATTAGTCTTTAAGGTGAAACATGTTTGGTTTGTTCAGTTTTGTTTTGTGCATGTTACACATGCTAAAACAGATTCAGCACTGCTCCTTTTTGACTGTAGGTCAGAATGCCACACAAAAAAGTAGAGAGAAAATGGTCATAAAATATGAAATCTTTTCTATTAGGAGTATCAAGGAAATACTTGTTAGAATTGGTTTGTTACAGTCTAAGACCAGGGTGGTTTCTACCTTTCCAAGTATAAGTATTTGTAGCCAACCAAAAAATTATCTTTGATGATATCATCCATTTTGTACCAGCAAACTGCTGTGCAGCTGTAAAACTAATCAAAGGCACAGGCATTATACTTTTGGGAAAGAAAATGGCCTTCAGTAACCAGGGCTTATTTATTTATTTTATTTTGTTTATATACTGCCCCATTAGTGCAATTGCACTATTCTGCGTGGCTCGCAATATAGGAAGCAGTGGAAGATAGAGATCATAGTTATTTAGTCATCTGTGAGATATCCTTTATAATATAGTTCAATTTTTAAGAACATGTATTTTATGCCTCAAAACTATCATGAAATCATATATACAAATAATTAGGAGGTTGTTGTATCATTTGACATGTTATTATGTTAACATGACAATGCCTTAATAGTGGGGAAAATTAATTATTGGTTCATTAAACATTGTGGGCAACTCATGAAACTCGATGCTTGGCAGCATACCATTTTAACTCCTGTGAAAGGGAAGTATGTACAGTATATAGCTTCAGATGCTGAATGTGGTAACCATTCAAACAGCACTGTTCTGTGCATGTGCTCCTGATTCATGTAACTGTGCATTAAGTCTGCTTCCATATTTGCACCATTCTCAGTAGTTTGGTACATTATATTTAGTTGTGTAATTTGACATGACCTCACAGTCTGACATTACTCCAGTGGTGGGGCAATCTCCAAACATATCTGCTGTAATCTTTTCTTTGGTTGTAGTAGTTACTTTAGGGATCAAGCAGGAATGGCTTGCTAGTTCAGAAGGATTCTGGGTAGGAATATTAAATGAACTATTTTTCAGCTCATTTATAGGTCCCCGCACAAGTTGGAAAATAGCATAGTCAGTATTATCTGGAAGAGACATTACCTTATTGTTAAACAATCTATCATCATAGTAATGTTTGTCATGATGGTTGTTGGTAAGTGAGGTTTCACTAAACAAAAGACTTAATTTTGTTATTTCAAGTTGAAAGTACTTAATAGTATAACAAATACAAATAATTAGGAGGTTGTTGTACCATTTGTCATGTTATTATGTTAACATGACAATACCTTAATAGTGGGAGAAATTAATCCCAGAAGTACAAGCTGGATTTCAAAGGGGAAGAGGAACTAGAGACCAAATTGCTAACATGCACTGGATTATGGAGAAAGCCAGAGAGTTCCAAAAAAAGTCAACTTCTGCTTCATTGAATACACAAAAGCCTTTGACATTGTGGACCACAGCAAACTATGGCAAGTCCTTACAGAAATGGGAGTGCCTGACCACCTTATGTATCTTCTGAGAAATCTGTATGTGGGACAGGAAGCAACAGTTAGAACTGGACATGGAACAACTGATTGTTTCAAAATTGGGAAAGGAGTACGACAAGGCTGTATATTGTCCCCCTGCTTATTTAACTTATTATTCAGAATACGACATGCAAAAGGCTGGACTGGAGGAATCCCAAAGCGGAGTTAAGATTCCCAGAAGAAATATCAACAACCTCTGATGCAGATGATACCACTCTGATGGCAGAAAGTGAGGAGGAATTAAAGAACCCTGTAATGAGGGTGAAAGAGGAGAGCGCAAAAAACGGTCTGAAACTCAACATCAAAAAAACTAAGATCATGGACACTGGTCCCATCATCTCCTGGCAAATAGAAGGGGAAGATACGGAGGCAGTGACAAATTTTACTATCTTTGGCTCCCTGATCGCTGCAGATGGTGACAGCAGCCACAAAATTAAAAGACACCTGCTTCTTGGGAGGAAGGCCAAGACAAACCTCGACAGCATATTAAAAAGCAGAGACATCACCTTGCCAACAAAAGTCTGCATAGTCCAAGCTATGGTTTTTCTATTAGTGATGTATGGAAGTGAGAGCTGGACCATAAAGAAGGCTGACCACCGAAGAATCGGTGCTTTTGGATTGTGGTGCTGGTGGAGGCTCTTCCGAGTCTCCTGGACTGCAAGGAGAACAAATCTATCCATTCTGAAGGAAATCAATCCTGAGTGCTCACTGGAAGAACAGATCCTGAAGCTGAGGCTCCAGTACTTTGGCCATCTCATGAGAAGAGAAGACTCCCTGGAAAAGACCCTGATGTTGGGAAAGAGTGAAGGCAAAAGGAGAAGGGGATGACAGAGGACGGGATGGCTGGACAGTGTCATGGAAGGTACCAACATGAATTTGACCCAACTCCGGGAGGCAGTGGAAGACAGGAGGGCCTGTTGTGCTCTGGTCCATGGGGTCATGAAGAATCGGAGACGACTTGACGACTAAAGAAAACAAAACTCCATTGTAAAATGTACAATGTTAGCTGTCATTGAGAGAAATTTCACCTAGGTCTAATGACGTTCCTTCTTTTATTTTATTTTATTTTAGTAAGTTCAACCAGGTGTTGTGTCAAGTTCATGAAATTGACCCAACTCCGGGAGACAGTGGAAGACGGGAGGGCCTGGCGTGCTCTGGTCCATGGGGTCACAAAGAGTCGGACACGACTTAATGACTAAACAATAGTATAACAAAACAATCATGCATTTTTTGGTGAAAGGTTCATAATTGACACAAAAGTAGATTAAAATATTCCATGCAAATTAGGTATTGCACCATCAACAATTTGCTTCCTGATGGCCCTGACAACCATCTTAAAAAAAGACTGTGTGTAGCTACTGTTTTAGTTGCAATATTTTTATAAAACTGTATAGATTTTTAACAAAAAATACAACAACACATGTTAAATGGGTGTAAAATAAACTTACTTAGCCTAGAATTTGTGTAATTTAACTAAGATGTTACTGAATACCTTAATGTTTCAAAACTTAAGTAGGTTGATAGACAGGCAGGCAGATATTGATTTGTTCTAGATAGTGATAATACAGTGCTGATGATAGCAATATAAACTGGCTCAGAC